GTAGTTTTGCTGGGCTCTGTGGCCCACGTGGCCTGTGGTGCGGATGCTTGGTTTCTCCTGTTGTACCTCCAGAGCCAGAGACTCTTCCTTAGGAATGGGCTTGGCTGTGTTCCAATAAAACTTTATTTACAAACACAGACGGTGGGCCGGACTATGGATTCTTGGCCTCTGCCGTGACCCATAACATCCCTCCTGGAGTAGGTGCGAGGGGTTCTGAACACTGCGGGGCTGTGTTGGAAGGGGCACCCTCCGGGCTCGGCACCGGGGCCAGACTAAGGGTTGCTCTCAGGGAAGGCAGTCTGGTGGGCAGAACTGGAAAGAAAGGGCTCCTGACTCTGCCTCGGCTCTGGGGGAGGTCACACGGGAGGTGCTTGGAGTTGGGCTGGGGCAGGTGTAGGAAGGAAGCAGCATTAGCCAAGTGCTATGAGATCCCCAGTCGATTGTGGGGACTGGGGCTCTGTGGGCTTTCACCATGCTGCCACCCCGAGGTCGCCAGGGCCTTGATCAAGATGCTCCCAGACCAGGCCGGAGCCCTTGTGTGATTTCAGTGAGGGCCCGGCTGTTGGAGAACCAGTCTGTGCCCGTGTGCTGGGGTTGGTGTCTGGCATCAGGGACCGTCGGGACCTTTAGCCAAGCCAGAGCTCCCCTTCCCCAGCCCCAGCTTGGCAGAGCTGCTTCTGCATTGTGGGCCCTTGTGGCGTTGTGGCATTGGCCTTCTCGGTGCACGGCTCGGTCCCCCTCCAGATAATGTTGCCATCCTGTTCCTGATGAGGTGAATGGCTGTGGCCTGTTTGTTTCCATGGCAGGTCCCCTGGGGACCAGGGGGTGTGGCTGGCTGTCTGGGAGGTTTACAACCTGGCAGGAGCCCTGCAACTCCGGAAGGCCTGGCCCAGGAGCCTGCAGTGTGCAGAGTGCCCTGGGCACTCCTGAGAACAGGTGGGCCTAGGGCGCGGGGGTGGGTCTCCTTGGTCCCTGGCACATGGCTTTTCTCCTGGGACCCCTCCACCCTGTGCAGGCCGGGCTCCCCTGGGGGCCCATACTGAGGGTCTGCAGTGTGACGCAGCAGCTGGGACCTGGGCCCCGTCCCTGTGGGACCCTCTGGTGGCTGGTGTCCTCACGAGATGGAGATGTCCTTGTCAGCTGCTGGGTGGGGGCCCTGGGCAGGGGAGCAGGAGGAAGGTGGGGATGGTAGGTGTGGGTGGCTGGACTGGACTGGACTCTGCTGGGAGAACTGTGGCTCTGCTTAGGCCAGAGCCCCTCAGTGTCTGCAGTGGTCCCCGCGGTGGGAAGTGTGATGAGCAGCACCAGCTTCCTGCATGTGGAATTGCGTCTTTCCTCATAGCTCCATCCTACTCTGTTAAGCACTGGATTGAGGAGGCGGGGGTCAGCCCTTCTGGTCCAGGCCCGTCTACTCCGTGACCCTCCTGGGAGGCGTCCAGGACTTTAGGGCCCGGTCCTGCCCCTTACTTCATTTTGAGAGCATGGCAGGGGCCTGGGCCCGCTCTGTCCCGGTGCGGTGGGCCACCGCCCCTGCTCCTCTTGGCCGGCTTTGGCCACTCGTCCCTGTTGCATGTGAGGGGCTCCTGCCAGAGGATCCGGACCTTCTCCCTGTGGCCCTCTCTGAGCTGCTGCTGCTGCAGGCTGGAGAGCACGAACTTGAAGTCCTGACTGGCTGTTCCTTCTCCCTCCCGGGAAGGGGGAGCTGCTGTGCTGGACTCTGCTGGTTTGGGGCTTCACGGGGAACACGACGCTGTCTGTCCTGCTGGTGGCAGCGTGACCTGTGGCAAACCTCAGCCTGTCCCACTCATGACCCAGTGCCCGTAGGCCCCTTGGCTCAGCTGCTTGCTGCTGTTCTTCCAGCAGGAGCTGAGGGATGCCGGCCGACCTGGGATCCATCCCCCTGGTCTGGGACCCATTATGTGCCTGGACCCCTTGTGCCCCTGGAGTGCCAGTCGACAGGCAGCGCCCGTGGGGCTGTGGGTCAAAGGCCACCCAGACCTGTTCAGGCCTCCCGCCCAAGCCCAGGGCCAGGTCCGCTCGGGCCCTGCCCTTCTTCCCTGCTGAGGGCTCTGCCTTCGGCTGTCCTTCTCCCACCGTGCCCACTGGTCCTGGGAGGTCCAGGAGGTGATGCGATCCCTGTTTTTTGGTGCAGAAACTCGGGAGCCACAGAGAGGTGACCTGACACACTCCTGGTCACCAGCCTGGGGCCCCCTGAGGAAGGTGAGCTGGTCTGCGTCTTTGCTATAAACCATGTACCGTCACATCCCTGTCTGTCCTGTCGAGACGGGGAGGCATCCCAGACGACCTCGTGAACACGGGCGCCCTTCCTGGAGGCATCCTCGTCTCCTCGGGCCTGTTTCCCGTGGGGCGGTGTAGCCCCATGCGTCCTGTGCTGTGGCTCTGATCGCCGGCCTTGTCCCGCAGGTGGCCTGTGAGTACGGCATGGTGCACGTGGTCTCCGAGGCTGGGGGCCCCAGAGGCAAAGACTACTGCATCCTCTACAACCCGCAGTGGGCCCATCTGCCGCATGACCTCAGCAAGGCGGTAAGTACCCGCCAGCTGGGTACCGCCGCGGGGGGGAATGCGTGGGCCCCAGGGCTCTAGAGACTCATCCAGCCAGGGCTGCAGGAAAGATCCAGAGGCGAGAGGCAGGCCCTGGCCAGGTCTGGGGGACTCTTGGGTAGCCCCTAGTTTCCCTGGGCCTCCCCAACCCTGGTCATCAATGCAGGCTGTCCATAGGGCCTTGGGATGCAAACCTAGAGGCACCGGCTCAGCCTCATGTGGTGGACGAGGGTCTCTGTTGCTCCATGCTGGGCTCCCCGTCTGGTGGGCCCGGACAGAGGGGTCCTTGGAGGAGTGACAGCAGAGGGCACAGTGGGGTCTCGGGGACGAGACCTGTTCCTTTCACCATCTTCCCGACTGGGGCACTAACACCTGCTGCTGGGTGGGTCCCTCCCTCCCTCAGAGGCCCCACCTCCTTTCCCACTGCATCCCTCAGGCCCTGCCCCCTTCTCACTGCATCCTTCAGGCCCCGCCCTCTTTTCCACTGCATCCCTCAGGCCCTGCCCCCTTCTCACTGCATCCTTCAGGCCCCACCCTCTTTTCCACTGCATTCCTCAGGCCCCGCCTCCTTTCCCACCGTGTTCCTCAGGCCCTGCCTCCTTTCCCACTGTGTCCCTCAGGCCCCGCCTCCTTTCCCACTGCATCCTTCAGGCCCCACCTCCTTTCCCACTGAGTCCCTCAGGTCCTGCCTCCTTTCCCACTGCACCCCTCAAGCCCCGCCTCCTTTCCCACTGCATTGCTCAGGCCCCACCTCTCCTGCTGAGTCCTTCAGGCCCCGCCTCTTTTCCCACTGTGTCCCTCAGACCCTGCCTCCCTCAGGCCCCACCTCCTTTCCCACTGCTTCCCTCAGGCCCCGCATCCTTTGCCACTGTGTCCCGCCCCCTCCTGGATCCCTCGAGGCCTGTCGGCCAAGAGGTGCTAGCGTCTTCCTGTCTGCTTTGTTCATAGTGTGTGCGCGTGTGTAATTGGTACGTGCCTGCACATGCGTACGTGTCTGAGTGCATGTTTATGTGAGTTTGCGTGAGTGTATGTGTGCATATGCCTGAGTGTGTGTGTGTGAGCACATGTGTAATAGACGTGTGCATGGACATGTATGTACCTTAGTGCGTGTGTGGGTGTGTCAGCACGTGTGCATGTGAGCATGTGTAATAGGTGTGTGGGGGCATGTGCATGGGTCTGAGTGTGTATGTGTGCACGTGTGTGTGAGCGTGCATGCAGTAGGTTTCTGTATGGGTGTGTGAGTGCGTGTGTGTGTGTGTACAGGTGTGTGTAAGCATGTAACCACGTAATAGGTATGTTTGTGGATATGTGCATGTGTCTGTGCACGCGTGCGTGTGTAATAGGTGTATGTATGTGTGTGTACGTGTGCATAATAGGTTTGTGTGTGGATGTGCCTGTGTATTTGAGTTCGTGTGTGCATGAGTGTGTGTGTGTGAGCTCATGTGTTGTAGGTATGTGCACGTGCCTGAGTGCGTTTGTGTGAATTCGTGTGGTGTGTGTGCATGCGTGTGTGTGTAATAGGTGTGTGTGCCCGAGCAGGAGTGCACAGGTGTGTGCTTGCCTGTGCACGTGTGTGCCGTGTGCTCTGGGCTATGTGTGTGTGCACGTGTATGTGCGTGTGTAATAGGTATGTTAGTGCTTGAGCGTGAGTGCGCATGTGTGTGCTTGCGTCTGCATGTGTGTACCGTGTGCTTCGGCCTGGCTGTGTATGTGTGCACGTGCATGTGTGTGCGCTCCATCCTGGCAGTGGGTGTGTGCATGTGTGTGTGCATGTGTGCGTGTGT